AGTTAAGACGCTTGAGCTGTGCATTTTCGAGAAGCAGCAATTGTAAGTAGAAGCCCATGTGTAACACATTTGTGTGCTTCCCATTGGGTGAGTTTCTGGAGATATATTTCCCGAAAATTGTTGATCAGACACTCACAAATTTGTGTGAATCACGGATGGGTCCGAAAGATGAAACGAGTCCAGTCGCTATATTTTAGGAGTGATTGGGACGTCTGGGAGATATATGGTCTTCTTTTTTTTTAATTATAAAATGTTTATTAATTTTATCAATCCAAATACAAATCACAATCGCATTTCTATTAAAAAGACATTCAAAACAATATCTTCCTATTAACATAAATTATTTAAATCCCTCACCTCATCCCTCCCTCTTCCCCCCCCCCCCTCCTCCCCCTCCCACTCTGCGTTTTATCTCTTCTCCTTTACGCCATACATTTATATTATTTCTAAAACCCATTTCAAGGGGTATTACATCCTCATATATTTCACTTTTTCTTTGTACTCTTCCCATTTTTTTTCCCACTTTGTATTATACATCTCCATCTTATCTATATGCATATAATACAATCTTTGTGTCCCGCAGATCTGATTCATTCTGCCCATCCAATCCTCCTCTGTTGGCACCTCCTTTTTTTTCCACCTAGCAAAGAAACCTAGGTATCAAGCTCTTTGCTGCACTCAAATAATGCCATATCCCCAAAACCTTATATAATTTCACTGGAAGCTCTGTGATGTGGAGAAGACATAGCTCTGGGTCTAATCCAATATTAATTTTTGTGATTTTCCTTACTAGATAAACTATTTTCCGCCAAAACACCTGTATTCCTGGACACTCCCACCACATATGATACCACGTGCCCACCTCTCCACAACCTCTCCAACACAATAGTGAAATCTCCCCATTCAATCTATGCTCTATATTAGGTGTAATGTGCCATCTCACCAAACATTTATAATTTATTTCCACCTCCCGCATACTAATATTTTTGTGAATTAATCTAAACATTTTCCTTTGCTCCTCCTCATCTATTTCCCTTCCCGTATCTCTTTCCCATTTCTCTATATATATAAATTTTGTGTCAGTGTCTAATTCAATTAAAATCTTGTATATTTTTGCAATTCCGTATCTCCCATCTCCCCGTGCTTCTAACAATCTTTCCAATGGATTCCACTCTTTTCTAGTTCTCATAGGCTTTGGGAGACTCTCAAAGAAAGGTTTCAGTTGGTAGTATTGTAATCTGTCCATCTTATTGAAAACTTCTCTCCCTTTTTTTCTCCAGCTCTCCATATGATCCCAATTCCTCCCCAACCATTATATCTCTCAATTGCACCTCCTGTTTTATAATCCATTTCCTGCGATGTTTTCCTGCCCAGGGGTAAAATATTCTGTGTTCCTTAGTGGCATTAACTGTGAATTAAAAACCCATCCCTTTTGTCTGTGTAACATTTCCCAAACTCTTAAAACGTTAAAAGTGTACGTACTTGTGCTATCATCTAATCCCCTATATTGTGCAGGCACCCATATAATCTTACTTAAATTTGTTCCACTCAGTGTATTTTCCATTTTGACCCAACTTTTCTCTGGATTATGAGTCCAATCAAAAATTCTCGCAATTATCACCGCTTTATAATATCTCTTAAAATCTGGTACACCCAAACCACCTCTTTCTTTACTTCTAGTCAACATTTCATAGCGTATTCTAGGTTTTTTATTCCTCCATATGTATCTTATTATCATTTTTTTAAGTTATTTAAAATATGCCTCTGGAAGTTTGATTGGAATCATTTGAAATTTATATAATACTTTGGGCACAATTACCTGTTTTATCAAGTTTATACGATCTATCCAGGATGGGTTTCCACCTCCCACTCTCTTCAACTCCTCCTTAAGCTCGTTTAGTAGTGAAATATAATTAACTTTATACAGATTCTTAATTGAGGCTGACAGTTTTATCCCTAGGTATTTTAATTCTTTATCTCTCCAAACAAATGGGAATTCGTCTTGTATTTTTTCTTTTTCACTATTTTTAAGGTTTATATTTAAGATTTCCATTTTGTTGAGTTAATTTTTAAATTTGATAATTCCCCATATTCCTTCAATATCTTCATTAAATTTGGAAGTGACATCCTAGGGTTTCCAACATAGAACATCAAATCATCCGCATAAGCCGCCACCTTATGTTCTCTATCTCCTATCCATATTCCTTTTATATCTATGTTCTTCCTTATCGTAGACAACAATGGCTCCAATGATAAAAGTGTCTAGTGTTAATAGTGTTTCCTAGTTCCCTAAGCATACCAACAGTATCTTTTAGCATGAGCTTAAAGATATTTAAGAGCATTTAAGGGGGTGGGGGGGTTGGGTGGGGGCTGGTGGATCAGAGGAAGAAAAAAAGAGGACATTTAGGAGGAGAAGTAGGAGATGGTGAAGGGTACAGCTTTGGAACCATCACTAGCAGCTGTATAGATGCAGGGCAGCTGCACAAGTTCCAGTGGTGTATCCTGTCCTACCAGTAGAGTCACCACAAGGCAACCATAATAAAATGCCATATAGTGTAGTATTTAGTACAAACCAAACTAGTAGCAGCACAGTGAAGTCACATAATATCATTAATAAAATCAATAACAATTAAATTAAGTAAAAAACTGATGCTGTACTTTATATCAGGGCAGCATATATTTGTGGTGAGTAGGCAATTCTTCTGATTTCCAGAGGTGGATAGTCTGATTTTTATTGGAGGAAATCGAGTACAACAACACATATATTGCACAGAGGGAATACAGATTAATTTTTGATATATCAATTTGATGGGACTGTCATTTTTGGACTATTAATGTGACCTTATAGCGCTGCTTTTTATTCAGAGTGGACTGTGAAATACCTGTACCTAAGTGACCAGAGGAGGGCAATGAAGGCTTGATTAGCCACTCCACCACCTCCTCCATGTGCTCTGGCTGTAAAGCATGCCCATCACCAGAAAGAAAACATGCCCTGCCTGCAGAGGATGCACCAAATCCACCACCACTTTGGCCTGTGGATACAGAGGCTGTTCGCCCCCAACACAACAATGTTGCATAGCAACTTCTGTCTGTTCCTGTGGGTCTGCCAGACATGTATAAGGCAGAAGTCGTGCTTCGGTGCACTGTAAACTGTGGGGCTTGGGTAGACTAAAGAGCACCTCAATATTGTGTGGTGCACCGCTGCTAATAAAGAGTAATAAAGAGCTGTGGTGACAGCAGATTCAAGCTGCTGTTGCTGTCCAGGTAAAAAAAAACCCAAATGAATGAATAAAAGACTCTGACAAAATAAAACACAAATTGCAATTCACTGTAAAGTATTAGTATCAAATATACAGTACAGGATACAGTACTCTAAATACTACTACTGATACTGTAAGCACAGAGCTGTAGTAGCACAGTACACTACAATATCCGACTCTCTCCCCCTAAAAAGCTGTTGAGAGAGTAGCCTGTTCTAGTGTGCGGGCTGCAACTTAGCTTAAAATCATCATTGGCCAAAGTTTTGCCCTTGACCAAAGTTTACCAGACTTTTGACAATGATGACTTGCAATGCATTATGGGACTTTCACTGGAGGAATTCACACTAAATGTCCTTAGAGTCTAGAGTTACTCAGAATGTCTGAACAGCAAATGTCCCTACTTTCATGAGATATTCTTTTCTGATCTTCCCCAGATCCTACATTAAAAGCTCCTCCATTCTTTTATCCATTCTTTTGTCCAAAAGAGCTGCACCCTCCATTATAAGATGCATTCTGTCCCTACATTAGCCATTAACTAACAAATTAGCCATTTGTTTATTTCCCTAAGCTCCTGTTGCCTCTATGGTGTGGCTCCTGGCACAGGTAGTATTTCTGAAAATACTACTTTGAAGTATTGTGTACTATAACAGCTAGGTCTTTCTCAGCCCCACCCAACAATCTGTCATCCCAATCCACAATGTGTTGTATCTGAATACCCAGTAAACAGCAAACTGTGATTTCAGTCTTCAGGACAGATCACCCTCTCTGACTTCCAATAATTTATTCCCTTACCACCAGTATCAGCCTCTTTTTACCTATACATCTGATCCCATCATTATAAAATATACATTTTATTGATACACTCACAATAAAAAAATGTTTGTCATAAAAATGTGTAATTAAAATCACAGTTGCCTTGTGAGCAATGACTCAAGATACATTACAAGTCACAAATTACAGGTGTGAATTCAATGAAAGCTCAATGTGTTTCTTGGATTTTATGCACTTCGTCAGCAGCCAGAGATGATTTAACACTAGATCTAAAGAGACATACAGTACATCTTATTAACATGTATCAATGCATTCTGCCATGTATCCATGCATTTTAGATAATATTTACCTGAATGTATCCAATGTAAAATGACTCCAAATACTCTCTAATTTCCATAATCACAGAAATAAAGTTTTTCAAAATATCCTCATACGTGGCTATTAATAGACATATATAAAGCCATCTCACCCACAGGAAAAGTGCGAGTATGTGTCAATATACATGCATATGCACTATACAATTATGTAAGGGCAATAATTAACCACATATTTACTAAATCTTCTACCAAAGAAACATACATTTGCCACATTACATGCGTGTCTGCTATGCATGTCAGGGAAGTGGTTGAATAGGTCCCAAATGTAATTTTCAGTAACCCAGTCAGTCCCTTCCAGGCCATTAATTGGAATTGTCAGGCAATAAAAACCAAGGAAAGATACAGTACATCAATATTCACCACTAATTTCATTTCAGTGGGGCTATAGTCATTACCCAACTTCAACAAGCCACATTAGCAAAAACTTCTTACAAGAACTTAAATACCATATAAGCCCTAGGTGTAGCTGCAAAGATGTCTCTGGAGCTTTCACTAAGCTTGCCAGTAAAGTAATAGACCGCCCTCCAAATAGCTGCACTTGCATAAAGCATGCAACTCACATGCCAAGTCACACCCTATTGTCCGCAATTGGAGTGGTCAAATCGGTGCGCTTCCGACTTAGTTCAAAAGCAGTACATGCACTACTTTTGGTGCGAGTTGCATAGACGTCTGCATCAGATGTCTTGCAAATCACATCATGAAATTGGTGGGTTCCCTGACTTTGAAATTGTGTGACTTCACTGTAAGTCGCACGATTTCAAAGTTGGGCTTCATGTGTACGGGGGCTTAGCCCCTAGTCACATCAAAGTCGATTTTGAAATCATGCGACTTACACCCTGGTCACATCAAGCCCGACTTTGAAGTTGTGCGACTTACAGTGAAGTCACATGATTTCAAAGTCGGGGGACATGCCGATTTCAAGTGCGATTTGCAAGACATCTGACACAGATGTCTATGCAAATCGCATGAAAAGTAGTGCATGTACTACTTTAGAAATCGGTGCGGCTCCGACCAAATCGGAGCCGCACTGATTTGACCACTGTAATTGTGGACAATAGGGTGCGACTTGACATGCAATTTGCAAGTCGCCTGGCATGCAAATCACATGCCAAATTGCACCCGATGTGACCAGGGGCTTACAGTGCAGTTGCACAATTTCAAAATCAGGTGACCTGCTGATTTCCTTGCTATTTGTAAGACATCTGACACAATTACACAAAAAGTATTGCATGCACTGCTTTAGAAAATGGTGCAGCTCCAACCAAGTCGGAACCGCACCGATATGACCGCTCTAATAATGGGCAATAGGGTGCAACTTGGCCTACGATTTGCAAGTTGCCTGGCATACAAATCGCACCAATGTGACCGGGGGCTTAAGATCTTTTTATGCGGTATTTCCTGAGTGTTTTTCTGAATTTCTGGAAATACTGCATAGTAGCAATAGAGAAATGACATTTTCAGTATCGCATGCGAGATGTGGCCATGTGACTGACTTAACTCATGTGATAACCTTTAGTTAATTGTGCCCATAGTGCCAATACATTTTTCTATGGGGTTCCCCTTCACATCCCTGTTCAATTTTCTGTTGTATGCTGCACAGGCACACTTGTTTTACTGTTGCTTTATTTCTGGCCATGCTAATGATTTGTGGGGCCTGTATACCAGAATTGATGCCTTATGTGATGACATAAGAGTTGTGCCTGCGAATCCAGTGCAATCACTTTCTCAGACCAAAGGAATGACAGTGGTGGGTGTGGCCTTCATTGGGCGTGGGGCCTTGTTTGGGCGTGCTCCCAAAGGGCTGCAGTAGCCAACGTGGCTTGGCCTCATAATAGGCCAGGTTATTTTCAGCAAGTCCTTGCCTGTGATGGGTTTTTTTTTTGGGGAGGGAGAGATATTGTGCTGAATTGCCCACCCACAGACCCCCACAACCACAGGCCAGGGTTGTGGAGAAGAAGCCTTTGTCCCCATCAACATGGGGACAAGGTGCTTTGGGGGGCCCCCCTGCCCCAAAGCACCCCCCCATGTTGAGGTCATGTGGCCTGGTATGGTTCAGGAGGGGGGCGCGCTCGCTTGCCCCCCCTCCCCCATTCCTGACTTGCTGGGCTGCATGCTCGAATAAGAGTCTGGTATGGATGGGGGACCCGCATGCAATTTTTTTTTTTTTAGTTTTGGCGTTGGGGTTCTCCTCAAAATCCATACCAGACCTGAAAGGATTGGTATGGATGGAGGATGGGACCCCACGCTGTTTTTTAAATTAGTTTTTTAATTGCCTGCAATTCTTTCTTTTACATTCAGCTGTCAGTGGGGAACCCCGCTGACAGCTGAAACATTAAGGAATGTTTTTCACTGCTAAAATATCGCATGACTTGATAAAATAACTCATGCAGTGTTTTAGTAGCGTTTTTTGGTGAATTCAAACTTTTAAAAAAAAAATGCTATGCAGTATCCTACCGCATACTCGGGTGTGGTAAGATACCGCTTAGTGAACTGTGCCCAGAGAGCCTCTCACAGGGCCCCCTTCTGATCCCGGGCCCTCGGGCAATGTCCGAATGGTCAGTCTGCCCCTGGGCTCAAGTAAGCATTAGTGTGCCTGGGGGAGGGGGGGCCTTGTGCCTTTCCAAACACTGTAATTGCTCCAAGAATGTTTACTTAAGCTCCTCAAATGGTAAAGATTGAAAAAGACACTCTAGCTAGCATGCACTGAGAAGTTATTGTCATGATGAAATGTCAATGATTCTTTGCTTTCATTTTACAGGAGTGGTCCTGCTTGCGGTTCAAGCTGGGAGAAAGCCACTTTCATGTCCTCCATTCGTCTTCATTTGTGGACAGTGGATATTTTGTGGCACTTGGCAAGAACTGGCATCAAGGACCTGCATAAACACCCTGGAATGCCGGAGGTGGTTTGGAAGCAGCACAGCAACTTGTCCATCCCTTTCCTCTATGCTGCTTTTGGGGGAGCATAATAGCTTCTCGTTCCTGAACAAACTTGCAACAGATATTGGAGTCCCCATATCTTGCAGATGTGGTTGAGCAGTGTGCTGGCAAAGAGCGAAGCCTGGTTTTGGTTTTCCAACTAATTGGGAGCTTGCAGGCATGTGTTCACATCAGGCCATGTATTTGCTTTTTTTTGTGTCGAATAAAGACTATTTTGGTTCCTAAAAAAAAAGTGTCATATCCTCTTGATTCTATTTCCTAGACTTAGGATGGCCAGATAATAAGCAATGTGATTGATGAAAACTCAGTGCAATTTCCTCCACATGTAGCTAAAGTCTGTAATAGGAGGACCTACCGGAACAATGCATTAATTTAGAATGGGCCAGGCCCATACAGTACATAGTTGAGGTTTGCTATGAAGGAACATTCACCTTTGGATACCTGAGCTCATGTGGTTTGGGTCCAAATATTTCAGGCCATTGCAACGTATTGACTAATGCAGCTCAATATAGAGCAGGCATAAATAAAATTGTACGTTGTCCATAAAATAGCCACTGAGAGGTCCTATCTGGGCAAACAGATCTGGCCCATACATAATTGGGTACATTCGGGCAAATGAGAATTTGGGATGCTTTATTATTATAAGGGGTTAGTTCATGCTTGCTACAGGGGAAACATTACTAATAATTGTTGTATTTTCAGTAGAAAACATGTACAATTCCTAGATACATAGCAGAGGTTCAAGGTATTCCATAGAAGAAGTTATTGTTCTTCCTAACTGTACAGGTGGCACAGGCACAAGCATACACCAGCTATTCTACTACTCTTTCCACTTTCTAGTCAGTAGCCAAAATCTTAATTGATTGATCAATACTCCTGGCACTGACAGAGCCCCAGAAATTGCTCTCCATATTTTGGGCCTTCACAATAGTCTGAAACATCAAGTAGTTTACAATCTAAGGCCACAAATTCAGTCATGTACCAATTAACCTAACAGCATGTCTTTGGAGTTTTGTCAGAAACACACCCAAACAGAGAAAGCATGCAAACTCCAGACAGGTGTAGCCATGACTGGGATTAGAACCCATAACCCAAGTGCTGCAAGCCATGAATGCTAACCACTAAGCCACTGTAACAGACAGAGTTTGAGTTGGAATGTAGAACAGTAACTTGATTAAAGAGAATGAAGATATATAATTAGATTGGGAAATTAGAACTAGACATTAAAATTATTTGGGATATAAGTTGAAAATGTTTGACATTCGAAAATAGGATGTATGACTTTGTAACAATCATTAGGAAATACATTATTTGTGCGATAATTTTTGGAGAAAAAAAAGGCAAGACAATTAATAGAGGCAACAATAATAGCAGCAACCCCCCCTCCAAGAAAAAAAAGCCATTAAAATACGCACACCGGCGAGTTTTCTCATCTGGCATACAAATAAATGTGAACGTGACAAAACGTGACGCCACCTAGGCACCATATCTGGCATTGCTCGTACAATTGCATCTACTCAGATCAGAGATTTATCAAAATTGTATTAAAAAACAATTCAGTCTACCCATAGACATTTTTATGTTGACCACTGAAAGGTCTTAATTGATTTAATTGGGTCTGGCTGAATGTTCAGCGTCTGCTGTTGGACACTATTCTTAGTAAATCAGGGCCTCTCTGTCTCCCAGTTGGAGGCTTAAAGGATATGCTCACCTTTGGGAACATGTTACATGTTCCACTCATTTTTAGGGTGGAACATGTAACATGTTCCTATAGCTGCAGCCAGCCCCGCGCCCCCCTCCCTCTGACAGATAATACGGGGAGATGTCTTGCCATTTATCTGTCAGATTTGAAAACAGTGCAGCCATGCGGGACTCTGTCCATACGACCACATCATTCACGGACTTCTGTGAATGAATGAATGAACTGCAAGCCCCGACAACCTTAGCGGCTATGGGCTTATAGTTTTTAATGAACTACTATGGCACTGTGGAGCGCTGTGGTAGTTCATTGAAGCTTCCTGTCAGAATATCTGCTTGGCTGTACATCCCTGTACGGCAAGCAGATATTCTGACAGGTCTGCAGGAGACCTCCATGGCATCACCGATTTACTGATCGCGGGTGCAATGCTTTCCAGGCTCCTTTGGAAAAAAATAATAAATGCACATTTTTTTTTTTACCTGCAAAAAAATGTGCATTTATTATTCTTGTCCAAAAAGGTGAACTTATCTTTTAAACCATGGTCAGCACTCATACTAACTTAAAATGACAAATATAACACAGTGTAGCGCCAAATAATATATGCTAAACATAAATAATACATAAAGCGTGACACACTCAATCCCTCTAAACAACACACTATAAGGGATTAAAAAATGAGTGCAATGGGGCGCATGTGCGACCGGGGATGATGGCGGTCGCATAGATCCTGAGCTGCGCTCATCCCCGGCCAGCATGGACTCACCTGCCACGCGTCACTGCTCTCCTGGAAATGCCTCCTTGCGTACCGACGTGGTGCGTCACGCTTGGCACGTGACTTCCTCAGGGTACCCTGAGGAATACCCTGAGGAAGTCACGTGCCAAGCGTGACGCAACGCGTTGGTACGCAAGGAGGCATTTCCGGGTACGCGGTGACATCACTTCCGGCGTGGGGGCCATATTGGAACACCTTTATTGATACCCATGCAGTACACCTCCAGCATGAGGTGAAACAACGTTTTTGGGGGAGGAATGAACATGTGAGTGGGCATTTTAATGATTTATATGCACAATTAAATAATAAATACAGATTACACTATGGAGGATCTTCTTGTTTTATTATGATCCTGGGAGAGGTTTGCTGTGAGCTATGCGGAGGCTTGGAGTGAGGAACGCATACCATTACTGAGGGAAACCTGTGAAGAGTCTGTCCTTAATAGGATCGGTGTGATCCGCTAAGCGAGCTGACCCTGTGGGGTTGATGAAAGGAGGTGAGGGGGCATTTTGGCCACTAAAGGATTGCCACGTATTGGTCACCTACACATTGTTACTTGCATGCGAGTCAAGTTGGAGCACCATCATTATATTTATTGTTTGTGGACTTACACACTATGATTATATGATTTGTTTATGGATTTGATTTTTGGTGTGTTATTCACT